TTTGGTCAATGAAAAAGATTGTGACTTATCTAGGTCTATTTGTCCTGTTACTATTCAGACTAAAAATAACTCCTTTTTTTTTTTGAAAGTATCCCAAAATGCTACCCTTAGAATTCTCAACCGAGGCGGCATACTTCCTCCAGCCCTACTCCTTCACTGTGTACTTAAATTATTATTTTTGAGAATATATTAAAATAATGCGACATATCCTTGCAGTCAGTATCTTTCATGGTCATGTCTTCTCATCCATGTGTATGCCTGCCTGTCTGATAGCGCGGGGGAAGGATTAAAAGATACCATTTTTCTTAACTTCATTGATGTTTATGATTTGACAAGACATTGAATCGGAATGGCGTTCCATCCGATTATATTTACTTACATCTCCTCAAAAGCTATACAACAATGTCTGAAACAGTTATTAATGTCAACTATTTACTTGATCTCAAATTACAGACAACACGCATTTAATTGCCCCTCGACTGGTCTCGAGGAAGCTAGCCATATATAATTATTGACCTATCATAACTTCTACATTGACACCCACTCTGCGAATCTGCACTAACATAGATCAATAAAATCGATATTTGTTCAGGTAGATATTTCAGCCTGATCAATCGGTGACCCGGCATTCCACTTTAAATGTCTGACACGTGTACAAACCTAGAAGAGAGTGTGTCTGCTACACTCCAGCGTACACCGGGTAGCTCAGTGGTGACATCTTTATTGAACCGAATGTCCCATTTCCAATGGGTTGCTGGATCAGGATGTTGATAAAATAATACGCTGGCTGGACGTTTGTAAATCACTAACAGGTCGAGTCCATTGTCTATAGATATGCCATTAATACCCCTGAATAAAATACCCAACTTGACGTATTTAAGATATTGGTAGGCTTAAATTATCGAGGTTTTTTTTTTCCATTCTTTTTATTAAGAGAAAGGAAGAGATATAAATGGCTCTGAATGGCCGATGAGTAAGAATAAAAAAGTTCATGTTTGTACCTCCATTTTTAAAAACATGTTTGTTGTCATATACCGAAATGTAAACTGGTTAAACTGTTATTCGGGCAGCTATTACCCTGTTAATTCATTAACTTAATAATTATCTTCCGATTAGCAAGTAACATAAGCAAATATTCCCAATTATACAAAATTTAATTTATATAATGCTGCGATCTTTGCATCGCCATTTTTGGTACCATAATTTGTAATCACACATCCATTATGTCGCCATAATTAAAGTCCACAATTTTCAATGCAACTGTTTTGGATCCAGTAATAAGAGGACATATTTTATTTAACTGTTATTAACACCTCGTGACTTTACATGGGATGCCGCCCGTGGTCTTGTGGCAGGAAAGCTTCGTCTGAACTCGTGGGTATAGCAGTGCCGGTTACACACATACAAGCCTAGCGATTCCGGACTTTTGAAAGTCAACGGCACCCGTCGATCGCGTGCCCTGCTTCATATGCTGGGTTCACAATTCACGCACCGTGGCGTGTCTGTGTAACACGATGACATGTAGGACCTATACACTCTATATGTAAATTACTGGACTTTAAAATCAACGATCATTTTAAATCTGAACACCTTAGAGCCTAACGCGAAGTGCTAGTGACAGATGCGACTTAAGGTAATGTATTGTGATGGCAGTGAATACTTTTATATTATGGCATTGAATATTTTTATAATATGGCATTGCGCGGTGGTATTCAAGTTTGGATTTCTAGTTGTTTATGGTCAGATGGTTTTATTGGCCAGCGTTGTAGTCAGGCGGCTGTTATTATGGACTGGGACAGTTTTAGTGTGTCTTTGAGTTGGTGCAATGCTCAATGACGCTTCTGAGAGCCAATGGAGATGTCTTGTTCGGAAGAAAATGAAGTAAGATTAAATCCTCATTTTAACTAAATGCACAAAGCCAGCAATTTTTTTTTTTTAATGGAAATATTTCAACAACAAAAGTGTTTTTGGTAATAGAAAGGTTGGTTCAGCTCATAAATGATAAACAGCGGATGTGATTTTAAGTCATTTAAACTTCAGTATAACACTGGATTGGATGGAGTTTTCTCCAAAATTTGTTGGGCATTGGCGGTACTTCCTTAGGTGATAGAGAGGAGTTGAATTTTATATATTTTGTTTGTTTGTTTGTAATAATAATATGAATAGGGAATCGTATAGTGAAATTCTATTTGTAACGTTACTGCAGTTGTTGGTGTGCATGTAATATGAGTACATCGACATGACACTGCATTGATTAGAGCGTCGTGAACAGCAGACTAATTAGTTAAAGTAAGGATAGCTGGAGGGCGTACAGGCCGGATGGCCTATATATGAATCAATAGACCGTAGAGCCAATAGAACAATGGGTGTCCGCAGTGACAGGTGTCCGTGCTTGTCTTGTTTCATTCAATGTGACCTTGGGTTTAATGCCATGAACTTTTCTAGATATCTTTTCACAACAGCTATTCCGTTGTATTGGACACAGAGGGGCACTGACTGGCAGGATTTAATGTGACACTAAAGAGCAGGACATAACTGAAATGGCAACCTCCTCTGATCCAATGAAGCGACCGAATGAATCGGATCCAAACGGTGGCAAACACAGTTACTGTCTGCTCCAGGATACTGAAATTAAGAGACGGCCTCTGGCCCCTCAGCGGCTCTATCACTTCAACGTTGTCTACAACTGGTCTGCTGAGGAGAACCAAACTGCAGACACACGTCTGGCCTTGAGGGTCACTCGGTCGCTAGTGTCCAGGCTTGAAATGAAAGGATATGTCAACAGGTAGATTAGAAAATATTCAAGATGCCGTCTTCAGCTAGTACAGCGGTTCTCGACCTGTGGGTCGCGACCCCTTTGGTGGACCAACGACCCTTTCCCAGGGGTCGCCAAAGAGCATCGGAAACACACATATGCTCTACAGTTATGAAGTAGCCATGAAAATAATTTTGTGGTTGGGGGTCGCCACAACATGAGGAACTGTATCAAAGGGTCGCGGCATTAGGAAGGTTGAGAACCACTTAACTAGTTGCATAAATATGTATTTATTTGAGTTAAGGGTTTTTTAATATCAGAATTATGTCGACGAGAAATGACATTTTATTAATTTGTTAGAAGAGTCATGAATGAGTATTGACATACGTCATTCTCTTTTTTAAATCTTTAATATTATACTTAGCTTTTGTTCGTGTGTTTGGGTGTTTAAGGCAAAATCATCGGACGGCTAATATACCCACTTCCCGTCATCCTATCGAACTGAAACTTGGCACATAGACTCTTTTCCGATGGCAAAATATTCTTTCAAATTTTAATGCCCCACCCCCGACCCTCAAAAATCAGCTTTTATGGTTTTTCAAGTGTCTAAGGGGATATGAAGAAAATATGATAAAATCTTATTTAAAACATTAAAATTCCCGATTACTGCGCTAAATGAGATTCTTAAAGATATCGCAAGTGACTTTGATGCGTAATATTTTCGTTTCTTGTTCTCAAATAGTTGGTGTAATAAATCTGAGGTGTTAAGCGGATTGGGACATTAGAATATTAATATGGTTCAGGGGCGGGAAAAAATGTGCGGTTGCTAGCCTTTGGGGGGGGGGGGGAGCCTAATAGGGTTTTTCATAAAGTACGTTTCTTGATAAA